TCGCAAACTGAGAGAAAAAAACGATCTTATTTACAATCCTAAAATTACCTAATTAATGAATCTAACAACAAAATACAAATGAAAAGTCATCAAAAATAACAAGTTTAATAAATAACAAATGTAATTCGATAATTTAAAAAGCTTTTGGAGTCAGATTCATGTGGATGTTGCTGGATTTAGATAATCAAGTAGATTTACATTGTATAGCGTCATTAACAACAACACACCACTTCCGGTTTTAACATCGATCTTTTCCGGCAATCTTAAGCTGTTGTAAGCCCTATGCTTTCAAAGTTATTTATAAAAAAATACGTCGCTAATGAATAACTAAATGAAATTTGAAACACATATGTAAAAATGGTGTTTACGCTCGGAGATCGCATTTCTAGCCTAAAGCGACAGTAAATTTTTATGGAACAATAAGTTTTACTTACCCAATTTTTGCCTGAAACACACCATCACGCACTGGTAGCAGAAAAAAACAAAAATAACACAGCAATCGGTGAAATCCATTTGTCTTTCAGAATAAAGTGACACTTTTCTATTAACAATGGTGATTAATAGTGAAATTATTTTTTTTTAATTATCACCCACTGCCGCACGGCTAAATTCACTAGGTTACGGTATGGGGAAAAAACTCTCGTTTTTAGAGGGGCAAAATCTACGTCATCCAAGGTGACTGTAGGGCAGTGGCGTAGCGAGGTCGGGTGTCACCCGGTGCGGCACTTAATGGTGTCACCCCCCCCAGAGGCATAGAGACCCTTCCCAGGGACAAAGTTTCAAGTTTTCGATTTGCACCCCCCCCTCAAACTTTCGATTTGCACCCCCCCCCCTCGAGTTTTCGATTTGCACCCCCCCCCCTCAAACTTTCGATTTGCACCCCACCCCTCGAGTTTTTCTCTATATATTTTGCTATTTTTTGCCTTGGTGTCACCCCCCTAAATGGTGTCACCCGGTGCGGTCCGCACCCCCCGCCCCCCCCCTCGCTACGCCCCTGCTGTAGGGTTTTTAGTTTTTATGTTAGCTAAATTACTGGCATTTTAGTTTTCAGAGTTTTATTTAATAACATTATTTTAAGGCAAATGTAGTAAAAGTTTAAAGTTTTAAACTGCTTCTAGATCTAGAATCTTGACGTCTACTAAGGTCTAAAGTTAAAAAGCTAATTTTAAAATTTAAAGCTTGGAATTAAAATTATTAAAGCTAGATCTAGGCGATTCTAGGGCTCTAGATCTAGGACATTCTTCTTAAATCTAGATCTAGGACTAGGACATTCTTTTTAAATCTAGATTCTAGATCTAGAAGAACCAAAGCGCCAAAAGTTGAATAACAATAATTTAATATAGATCTAGATCTAGAATTCTAGATCTAGGCCTTGCCATAAATTCTCCACGACGTTTTAACAAAAGAAAACATGATTGAAATTAGATCTAGATCTAGCTAGATGAAGATCTAGATCTAGAATCTAGAATCTAGCTAGCAGCTAGTCTAGATTACTACAATTACATGGTACATAGCAGTAAAACTAAAACAATATTCTAGACCTAGAATTAGATCTAGATTAGAGATGTGTTGAGATCGGAGACGTATGATTTTGGAAACCCAAAAGTTGAGGCCGAGTGTACCACTGTAATGCAGTCTCGAGTCATCACTTTCAATTTTCATCGCTAGCAGAAATAAAGATCGGCCTTCGATGGCCAGAACAGTTTAAACTTTTATTGCCATAAACATCTTTAAAGAAGCAACAACAACAAAAAAATTAGTAGCAGTTCTACAATATCACCCCATGCGTATTGTCTTAACGACAAAAACGTTGAGTTTCTCTCCAATAGTGTTGATGAGAATAAGACCCTTCAAATCGTTCTTAAACGAGACTGTCGTAGAGAATTAATAAAAAACTCATAATTCCGAAGACTCTATATTTTATGGTTAAAAAAAAAGAAACGAAACGAGAAATGTAGCTGAAGATTCCAGCCATTTTGTTTTGACGAGAGCTAGTCCAGATCTAGATCCTCTAAAATCTAGATCTAGAATCTAGATCTACTTGATCAACGATTTACACTGATGTATAACCTACGTAAATCTGCAAGATCTAGATTTAAATTTAGATCTAGAATCTAGAAATCTACATTATTGACTAGAGAGAAAAGTTAAAAGTATGCCTATATAGTGCCTCGTAAGTAAATGATAGATCTAGCTTAGTAGTAATAGTAGCTAGTAGATCTAGAATCTAGATCTAGAATTTAGATCTAGTAATTTTTCAGTAGCACTAGAGATCTAGATCTAATAGATTCTAGATCTAGAATAGAAAGATAATTATTTCCGTGGCATAGCTGTCCTTTTGGATCTATTCAATTTTAAATCTCTTCTATTTCAAATTGTTTGTAGATCTAGATCTGTATGTACAAGCTTAGGCTTAGGTTAGGTCTAAAAATTACTAAAGCTACACATTAGGCCTACACATTATTCCTAAACTTAATGGAACATGGCTAAAATTCACGGAGCATTGTTGCACTTGGCGCTTAAGACTTAAACGTAAGGCCTAAATAATAATACTAAATAAAATTATTACGTCTACGTTAGCTTAAGTAAGACCTAGATTCTCTAATTTTCGTGACAGCTTTTTCTTCTTTTTTTGCCCTGCTTTATTTAAGTCACTTTTATGTGCTGGTAGCTTAAAATAAAACTTGTTCAGGAAGTTAATTTCTTTCTCCCTTTCATAATGCTGCAAATATGAGTAAGACGCATATTATTAAAATTAAATAGCTGCGATGAATAATCATTTGCATCTTTTTGGGGGTATTTCTTTTCCATGAACTGTGAAAGCCACAGAATATGGTATCTCAAATTTTGCTTGTAACTCAAAGCGATTACTCACTCAACTGCGCGTATTTAAAAAAATCTCGTATGTCGAGGCACTAAAATGTTGAGGTACCACAGGATCTACTATGTATTGAAAGAAAACATAAATTAATTATAGAATAATAGGCCTATAATAATATAGGCCAATATAGTAATAAAGGATAGCTTTAGATTTTATTCAGCCTACTAATAAATAATTAAATAGGCCTAAAGAAGTACTAGATATTAGATAAATCACTAGTTCAGACTGAGAATCATGAGCAATGAACAAAAATGTCATGTGTGTATTGTATAGGCTTATTTTTATTAAAAAAACAGATCATATCTTATACATTAAGGGCTCAATCAAATAAAAATAATTTATTTAGGACCTAGGCCTATGTATTGGAGATCTAAAATTCTAAATGAAAAATAAATTATTAATTAGACCAACAATAGGCATAGTAGTATGATAGTAGGCTAAATCTATTTTAGTATTTAAATTTAAGGCTCAGCCATCTACTAAAAGTATTATAATTGTCATAAGTTAAAACTAGACCAAGCCTATTTTATTAGTAGAAATAGTATTAGCCATTAGAGTTAAGATGTTATAGCCTTATGTAAATTAATGTAATCAGTGTTAGATATTATGATATCGAGAGCATATATTATATAATATCGGATAGGGGCCTGCACTTTCTTAGTCATTAGTCTATTAGGTCTTACAAGTAGTTTAGCTTACTTATATATATATTATATAGGCTAAGTTATTAAATTAGGCCAAAAGCTTATTAGGAAAAGGCTTAATAGGCTTTAGTTTTTAATTAGGCAACAAGGCAGAGGCTTAATGTTGCGTATAGATTTAATTTTAATTTATGATTATATGCTACTCTGCGGTTATCACTATAGAGTATATTATAGCCTAGGCCTATCTAAATAAAATAATTCAACTCACTTAGCTTACCATAATTTTTAAAAATGTTTTGTTAAGTATTCAGCTCTCTATGTCAGCTAAGGCCCATAATTGTAATTATCCTACTGTTAGATCTATTAATTATTTAATAATTAGTAGGCCTTATTATAGGAATTAGGTCTGATTCATTGTCCTATACATTGGTCGTAGAGTAATACTATTGGGCTAGTAATTGTATACAATATCTATACAAGCCTACTTATCGTTAATTTGGAAGTCTTTGCATTGACCTTAGTTTTCAGATGTAGCAGCCTAATAACTTTTTATAAAGGTATCTTGAATTTCAACTGGAGGTAGTTTTGATAACTATTAGTATTCTGAACATTAAAATAGGTAGACTTAAGATAAATTTGTTCTGAAAACATATTTAGAAATTGGTTTTAAAAAATGAGGTTAGGATTGGGGTGATAACTAGTTGAGGATAAGATATCACAAAAAATTCATTGTGTTTATGCATGTTGTAATTTCTCTTTTACAGGTTCACCCAAAAAAAGGGAAGATCTGATTTTTACCAGTAATAAGACTACAGCATACTAAATGACACAAGATGTTCTTTCTCTACATTTGACATAAAAGTAGGAAAAGGTATGACATTTATTAATAAGCTGCTTTAAATTTTATAATTTGTTTTTTTTATAACTTAATTGTACCACATTTATTTCCAATGATGATAAATATAATTTAGTGTCATTTATTTTTTAAATATTTATATTATACTTATACTAGATATAATTTACTTCTATAATATTACTATCCAGGTTTAACAGTCTATGCCTACAACATGGATCTCCAGGACTAAAACTGAAAAAATTTGCAATCAGTATATCACAAGTGTTATAATACAAGCATCTAATCTGCTTCAGTGGCCAGAACTGGGTGAATCCTCTCAAACTTGAATCAGGTAAGTTATCACAACTTTACTTTGGTTTATTTTGAACATGTTGATTGAGATAGATTTTTATTTGTATAAATATTGTATTTAAAAAATATTTTACCTAGTATTTTACCTTTTTAAATATTTGTTTTGCAAAATATGCTGATTTGCAGGCAGGATATATATATATATATATATATATATATATATATATATATATATATATATATATATATATATATATATCTTACATTATCATTTAGTGGTTTGTCTTACAAATTTGAATTATTTACTTAATTTGTCTTAACTGCTCAACAGGAACTAGCCATACCTAATGAGCGTCAAGCTGATACAGTAGATGTACAGAAGAGTTTATACACAAGGTAAATATTGATAAATTTTAAGTTTTCCTTTTTTTAGGGATACATGTAGTGTTTTGGGAGAAAGGAATTAAATTATTTAAATTAGGCCTAATAGTTTATTTCTCTAGCTTATGTTTCACTTAAAAGAACTTAAATTTTTCCCCCTTTATCACTAAAGCAAAACTTTATAGATATCTATGCCATGATTCATCCCATTCAATCACTTTTTTCTTGTTTTGTTTTGATGTATTAAACTAAAGATTATTTTTTTTTTGTTAATGTTATTATTTCAGATGGATTTTTAAGAAAATCATTTTGTTTTGTTTAAGGAAGTGAAAAGTGATGTGAAAGGCAACTAATACTTCCATCTACCATAGTTAAACAAGAATCTGCAAATGGCGATAATTGCAATAATCCTGATATATTCATTTTTGGCTTTAAATGCAATTGTCAGGTTTGATAAATAAATTATTTCGCAAAATTTGATGTATTTGGTTTTCTTACTGTGTACATAAGATGCGAGTGATTGAAAGCTGAAAAGTGTAGTATGTAGTTATAGTATTCCAAGCACAATTTGACATTAAAACAGTTGAAGCCCTTTAAAAAAAAAACAAAAAAACTAAAAATAAAATAATCTAGGAATGCTGTTTCTATTAGCTGAGCACATATTTGGAAAATAACTTAATTGTTTACCAGAGAATACTGTGACCCAGTTTGTACTCCAGGCAAAAAGTGCCTATGTTTATTATTATTAAGTTAAAAAAAAGTATCAAACAAACAGGATAATATTAATAATAAAGACCTCCACACTAGAGAAGTATGGAATGAGTGTTGCATGGAATCCAAATCAACTTTGATGTTGCTAATTGCTACACTGGCCATAATTGGCCTACATTGACTTTTGCTGAGGTAGGCAACTGTTTTTGTTTAACTTTAGATGTCGACTAAATAAAGAAGAAAACTGACACGCCAATACCAAAATCAAGAACTTGTAAAGTTCGTGGTTGCTAAACCGAGAAGTCCTGAGTTCAATCTCCCGTGTAGATGAGGCTCTATAGTTGGGGATACAACACTTGTTCTTGGATTGACAAAAGATAAGAAAAGAAATCCAGAAAGAAAAGCAGCTGAACGAAGAAGAAAAAGGCTGGATATATTCGGTATCAACTGTACAATTTTAACAGACACACATTTCAAATTACACATGCATTTCAATGACAAAGTTCAGTGAAGCCATATTGTTGAGTTTGACTGAATGAAGAACGATATTGTTATTTCAAGCAAAGTTAAGGTTTATTGTCTTAAAGACATTGTCGTGGATTGATTTAGACTAAGACTTCCGTGTTAAATAAGCCGACAACGATGGCTCTTCTTATTTCTCGTCTTTGATGTTGCTTTCAAGAACTTGAATGAGATTAGATTACCTACATAATGCTACAAAATTTGGAATCTTGGCTTTCTAATAGTGGACCTGGCTACATGACATTACCCCCACCCCGTCAATTACCCCACCCCCCGGAGGAGACCCCCCTCCCGTATTTACCCCCCGGGGCAATTACCTCTTGTCAATAACCCCCCTGGAGAATCCCCCCACCCCCCACCCCCGGCCTCAAGTTATGATCCTAACTCAAACTCTATACCTATGTATTTCCTTAATCCTAATCGATTAAAAAATGACCAAACCCTAAGCATTCACCTCAGCCTAAAACTTAACACATAACCAAAACCAACTCTAGAGTTAGGTTTCAGCCTAACCTTGACCATAACACTAACCCTAATCCTAGCCTTAATCCTAACCCTGACCATAACACTAACTCTAATTCTGAACCTAACCCTAACCTTAGCCCGAACGCTAACCCTAACCTTAGCCCGAACGCTAACCCTAACTCTAGCCCTAACTCTAACCCTAGCCCTAACGCTAACCCTAACCATAACCCTAACCTTAGCACGAACGCTAGCCCTAGCCCAAACTCTAACTCTAGCCCTAACTCTAACCCTAGCCCTAACGCTAACCCTAACCCTAGCCGTAACCCTAACCATAATCCTAACCTTGGCCAGAACGCTAACCCTAACTCTAACCCTAGCCCTAACGCTAACCCAAACCCTAACCCTAGCCGTAACCCTAACCATAACCCTAACCCCAGCTGTACCTTAAGAGGTGTGCCCGTGGGGGGGGGATGTCCTCCTTGGCGGGGGGTAAATGACAGGGGATAATTGCTTCAGGGGGGGGGGGGAGAGAACTAATAATCTGTAAGTCCTACTATTCAATACATTTGGTTAACACAATGTCGTCACACATGTAAAACAAAATAAGCAGTGTTTTTATTATTTGTTTGTATCCTTAAAAAATGCAAAATAAATGCTACGCCATTAACACAACCCTCTTTTTTCTCGTTACATATCGTCACATAAAGCCACCGCCCAAAATGATGGTGACGTCAATATACAATCATAAAGTGGTCACCCATTAACGACGACTCACTCTTCAGACGATTTTGCACCCAACCCCCCTTCTCTAATTGTAACACATTTTCACAAAAAGCCAGATCTTCGCTTCCCCCCCCCCCCCCACCACCACTCTTTTTAAAAACACCACACCTCAACACATAACCCCCTCCGCCGTTCCCCTGAAACTGCATTTTTACTTTCTCGTATATACGAAGTTTAGAGAAAGTCTTGTAATCGTGCAAAAAAAAAATCGAGATTTTTTACAAATCTCGACGTTTTACACCTCACTGATATGGAAAAACATAATTTTGCAATCTTGTCCGTATGTCTGTGTGTGTCTGTGTGTAAGCACGATTACTTGAGTATCGATACAGCTAGGTTGATGATATTTCATATATAAGTATTTTATCAAAATCGTAGATCCGTATCAACTTTTGAGCGATTTCCGATAACCGAAAGTGGTACTTTTTCTACTTTGAATTTTTCAAAAGCCTATAGCTTGAGTACTATTTCAGATAGATAAATGAAATTTCACATGTAAGTAAAAGATCTAATTCTCTGCCTGCTGTCAAATTTTGAGTAATTTCCGTTGACAGGAAGTACTAATTTACGCTATTTCCGATTTCTCAAAAAACGCACGTAAGCTTATAAAGTACTAATAATGTTGCGCACTATTATGCACATCTTTATTTGGCGTTCACTTGGTGTGCAATTCTTTTTTCTACGAGGTTTTATTCTATTTTAAAAAGTTTAAGTATTTAAAGTGGATTAAAAATCATGTCTATTTCCCGAGTTGCCATTCCCCGTAGTGTTATATTAGAATATTCGAGAAAGTTTAGGGGAGATCACTCCCGGTTTATTATAATATGTACTGACCTCGATAAACATTGAGTTAATAAATGAATTAATACCAAAAGCAACCTTTTAAAGCCCGAAACAACGGATGAAAGCACAAATGTGTCGTCACACTTTCCGATCACCCCTTCCCATAAATGAAAAAAAAAGCCTGAACATACTAAAGGAGAGTATGGATGTTGATGGAGGATCCCAAAGTTAAAAATTAAAACAGGGCAAAATTTCAGGAATCCATGTTACATATTATTATTTTCCTTAGGTATAACAAAAGTATTTACATTGTGTTTTATATTTTACGAGCCGCTATCATACGCCGCTATTTAGTTGTTTCATTTTCTACTTTTCAGTAATTCATAATTTGTGAATTCGACAGTAACAATGCTGCCACTGAAAATATTTGCTTTAAAACACTATCAGTAGCTCGTTAAGGACGATAACCTCCTCCTCCCCACCCTCCTTTCCCACAAACCCTACCCCCCTCCCAGTGAAAGCAGCCCCCTCTGAGTTACCTCCACTAAGTTTAAAATAGTTTCAAACTAAATTATCTGCCCCTAATAGCTGTCACTAAACCCGGCTCTACGATTGTAAACATTTAGCTTGAACCACAGCTCACCAGACCATGTAGGGATGGGGGGTAGTAGGGATAGAGAGAAAGAGAGGGGGCTGCTAGGGGCTCTTACCGCTTGGTGTTTTCTATGGTATCCATGAAGAGAATTATTTATATAGAAGAAATATATATTAAACCAGCGTACCCGTCCCGCGCATTGCTGCGGTCTCAGAAGACAGACTGACGCAATATTTTAAGAGGATTCCATAATTACATTAGCAATCGCGTATTTTTTTACGCTTGACATTGATTTCTAAATCTAAACAATTTAAATGTAATCAAAGCCGGTGTTATATTGCTTTCATCATAGTTGTTGAGGCGCAAATTCTACCGCAAACAGTAGCCCATTGTATCCATAATGTATCGCACTCTTTAAAACGAACGTAGGCGCAATACTGTTTATGAGGGACCCACACAGAGGCGCTAGACCACACGCCAGTGGTGCAGTAGACAAAAGTTTCCCTACTGTAGGGCGCTCTTTTAAAACTCATAGTGTTCCTCCCGAAGCCAGGGGCGCACCGGGTCAAACGAATTGTTATCGAAGAGTGCTCTTTAACACAACCTAAGGATATCCCAGGGCGCCAAATCGCATCCTGCCGGGGCGCCGGCTGACGCGCCTGATTCCATATAGTCAACAATTATTGTTGCCCATCGTGTCTTTAGTGTATAAATAAAAAAAAACGAACGTAGGCGTCATAGTGTTCACATGGTAGCACGTAGCGCTTCGGGTTACGTAATATCCGGGGCGCCGGCGGCTGCGCCTGTTGTTGCTTTTTTACCTTAGCCCCCCATGCAGAAGGCTCAAGTTTTAATATTGCCGCCCTGGATTTTCGGGCGCCAAGCCGTTTATTAACAAAAATCGCACCCTCCAGGGAAACGCCCATAATAAATTTTAATTTTTGTTTTCGTAATAACCTTCTCGTGAGTGTTTTCATTAACTCTCGAAAGTTTAACGGCACTCAGATGAACGATGTCAAACAGCATCCGTTTTGTTTTTTACAAACTGTGTAGAGAAAAATTGCACCCTCCAGGAGCGCCGCCCTGTTAAAATAAAAAAAAAAGAATTTCTTACTGTAACCTCCCCTGAAGTTTTATAACGAGCGTATGAACGGGATTAAACCGCAATCTACTTTTTCGTATATATACCCTATATAGGGAAGAATCGATTCGCGCCCTGCTGGGGCACCATGCTTGTGAAATATATCCAGTGGTATTCTTAACTTAAGTTGCATGGCCATAGGATGAAAGGTGTAGTGCTGCATAGAGGACATAAAAAACCCACAAACAAACAAGCAAAACTTCATTATATATATATACATAGAGAGAAATATACATAATTCTACATATGCATATATGCATATATATATATATGTGAGCGGCTGGAGTGTATTTTTATTATTTGTAACTTAGAAGGCGAATGTATCGTTTCGTTTCATGTCGTAAATTGTTCGTCGTTTTAGTTGTGTAGTCCCGTATTATGGCGCCGCTGTCTCACTGTTTATGTTCCTGGTTATAGCTAGTTTATATATATTTCGTTTATATTGTTGTCATTGTTTATATTAAGTGTCTTTTTATAATA